GCGAGTCAGTTCGGTATTATCCACTAAAGAACAAGAAATTTCAAGTGCCAAAAAATTCGCACTTCAGAGGAACATTTCAATTACGCCGTGCAATAAGAAATTGCCTTCATGGTTGGTTTAGTGGCGAGTTAACTCGCAAATACAAAAAAACTTCTTTCTTTTGGGCTGAGAAGAGACACAACTTATCGACTAAAGAGGAACAAATTGAGGGGGATGGTTGGTTGAAGAGCGAATAAATTCGCACTTGCAAACGAGCATTTCCATTATGAAACTGGGGCTTATGGACTAAGGAGTCACAAATTTAGGGGGATGGTTGGTTGAAGAGCGAATAAATTCGCACTTGCAAACGAGCATTTCCATTATGAAACTGGGGCTTATGGACTAAAGAGTCACAAATTTAGGGGGATGGTTGGTTGAAGAGCGAATAAATTCGCACTTGCAAACGAGCATTTCCACTATGAAACTGGGGCTTATGGACTAAAGAGTAAGAAATTTAGGGGTATGGTTGGTTGAAGAGCGAATAAATTCGCACTTGCAAACAGACATTTTCATTACGAAACTGGGGGTACAAGTGCGAGTTAATTCTGACCTATGGACTAAACAGTAACAAATTAAGGGGTTGATTGGTTCAAAAGCGAATGAATTCGCTTTTGTAAACGAGCATTTCCATTACGAAACTGCGGGTACAAGTGCAAGTTGTTTCCGGCTTGTTCTGCGTGTAGTACGAGCCACAGATCGTCGCAAGAGAGAAATAGGGAAAGATGGCGTAATATTTTTTAAGATGGAGAAAGATTGCGAAGCGATGGGCAGACGACGCATCGATGAAAATACATGGAGAGAGATGGCGCACCGAATGAGAGAGATGGCGCACCAAGAGAGATGAATGGAGTCACAGTCTTCCCCCGAATACAACGTCCGGTCATTACAGCTGAATTCAGGTCATCCTTCAGTCTAAAGACAACTATAATGAAAGTGCGTTGTATATTCCGGGGAAGACGGTAGATGGCGCAGGAAGGGAAAAAGATCGTGAACTGATTAGGAGATGTGCCACAGCGAGAGAGAGAGATTCCGCACCGATGGAGAAACATGGCGCAACAATAGAGATAGCAGGCACAACAATAGAGATAGCAGGCGCAGCGATGGTTAGCGATAGCAAAGCAATGGAGAAAGATGGCGCACCGAAACAGATAGATGACGATGGAGATAGATTAGGAAAGATAGCACAGCGATGGAGATAGATGACGAAGGCGATAGATTAGGAAAGATAGCGCACCGAAGGAGATAGATTAGGAAAGATACCGCAGCGATGGGGATAGATGACAAAAGGTCAGTAGAGATCTCGCATCGGTGGAGAGAGATGGATAGAGGACGAGCAACAATCGTTAGCGATGCCGCAGTAATGGAGAGAGAAGGCACAACGATGACCAAGATTTGTTATTGCACAACATCAGTTTCATCGAGTTAAACCTTCGTTAAGCATACCTGTCACTTGTTTCGTGCGATTCCACAGTGATGGGCGGCTGCACCGACGACGGCCTGAAACAACAATACAATGGCGATGGCGGGATCGCGCAGGAGTAATGGAGAGCCTCTGGGCAAGGATGGAGGTTGCCCGGTGGTCGAGAGAGATCGCGCAGTGATAGAGAGTGATAACTCAACGATGGAGGGAGATCGTGCGGCAATGGAGAGAGAAATCACGCAGCGCTGCGGTGGGATAACACTGGCCAGGGCTTCGATAGCGATGGCCAGCGCTGTGGTGGAGAGCGATGGCGCACCGGTGGAGAGCGATGGCGCAACGATGGAACGCGTTACAATGCAGCGATAGCGATAGCGATGGCAGCGATGGAACAGCTATAG